GTATTTACACACATATATACACTATATGACCAAGTAGAATGGATTGGATAACAACGCACCAAAGAGGATCTCTACCTTACACTATAAATTAAAGGGAAACTGACAGATTTATGATCATATATTTTAGTTAATATGAAATATAAAATGGTAATTTATTCTGACCATATCATATTGAATTTTTGTAAAAAAATTAAAACACTTTTTTTTACACCAAAATTATTTAGGCGGGCTGGAGCCCCCGTAAAATACGCCTAGTGACGCCACTGAAAGCCTACCTGCAGATTGGTTGCATGCAGTAAGGAATTATGAGATGGTTGATTTTATTTTAGTCCGAGTCTTTTTTAAAAAACATCTAGTCAAACAACGATCAAAAACAAAAGCAAAAATGGAAAATTAAAGTCTTGTCCATAACCCCGCCTCCTTTCATCACTGAACAAACTGACAGTGATGCTATTTTGGTGACAAAGTAACTCCACTGTACACAAACCCTCACATTATGGTTCCTGACAGTTTGACAAACTTTTATAAGACTGTTGTTGAAATGAGAGGCGGGTGAGCTACTTTGTAATCTGGAGACAAAAAAGCTTTTCCCACACATTGAGCAGAGGGAATTCATTGACGTGACAATAATTAGCAAGTCTTTTGCCAAGTATTTAATTAGTACTGTATAGATGAGTTTCAAGAAAGTGTGCTTGATGTTCTCACACCAGGCTGTCATTTGTGAGGGCTTTCTTTTGTTTTCCTGATTTAAAGAGGTTTATTTTGAGTATTAGTCTGCTGGTTGAAGGTGAAAATTTATTTTATTCATCCATCCATCTATTCATAAACCTCCCTCTCCTTATACTTCCTCCGTCACATCCTGCAAGACCCAAAGGCATTCCCAGACCATTTGTGAATGAAATATAATCCCTCTAGAGAGTTCTGAGTCTGTCCCATCTTATTCCTGTTACACATGTCTGAAAACACGTCATATGGAAGGTGAGCAGTAAACACCTTTTACCAGACACACAAACCCTATCAGTCAGCTGCTCTCAGTGTGCAGTAAGTCCCCTCTACCCTATCCTTTTGGGTGAGTTTAGCCACTCTGCAGAGCTTGGTGCAGGTTGGAATATAATTTGATTGATAATTTAAAAGGGTTTTCTTTCAGCTCAGATCTCCCTTCATCACAACAGATTGATACAGAGTCTGTATCACTGTAGACACTGAACCATGCCACCTATCAATCTCCTGCTACATAAACTCTCTAAAGTTGCAGCTCATTCCCAACACTCATTCCAGCATAAGCTGCATTATGCCCCTATCATTAAAGTGAAATTCCATGTCCATAAAATCTGTTTCAACGACTGCGAATCTGAATGCCAAGGCAGTCTTTGACTGTTACCCAATGCAGACACTTGTCTGCATTGAAGTTGTTCGGTTCATGTGCTGCCACCAGGGTAGCCCTGACATAATGCTATAGTTTGGAGTTGTTAGGACACGCAAAAAACAATTACAATAAGGTGATAATACATGGAGATAGCGCTGGGCGGTATGACCCAAATTTTATATCACGGTATTTACAGCATTTACACCGGTTTCACGGTATATCACCGTATTTTTCTTTTCATCACACGTCAGCTGATAATAAAATATATAAACACTACTTATGAACTTTTTTCGTTTACTGTACCTCTGTCTGTGTCGCTGTTTCCCTCCTCTATGTGTCTTTCTTTTCTCTGACTGGTGGTTGTAGACAGTAGTCGTGCATTTTGGTCCGGTTGTGAAGGAGGAGGGTTAAGAAAAGATTATTATTGAGTCTATTGTTTTATGTTATTTATTAAAGCTTATCAACATGACTCACCTTGCACACCAGTCATTTCCAATACCACTACAAACTACTTCCGCCAGGCTTTTCACAATAGAACCACGTTAAGTCTCCATCAGCATGACATCTCCATATTAACTAACCGCGTTAAATCTAACTTTGCACGTCACCGAAGAGGTGTTTACTACATTCAGTGATGGCGAAATGGATGTTTTTTTAACGTAAGCCAATATAAGCAGCAGAATCACCACCCATCGCTGCAACAAGCTGCTCCAACAATAACATTAGCTTGCTAATGCACATAGCAGTGCAGCGAGGAAAAATGTCCCCTGGGAAACAGTTCACTGGCGGCCGTGGCGAAATGCTCCACATGTGTTCAGGCTATTTAAATCGGTATGTCGGTATTCAGAAAATTCATGTCATAACGAAAATAAAAAATGGTATTTGGTACAAACCGGTATATCGCCCAGCACTACATGGAGATGATTGTTTTCATCACTGCCTTGAAATCTGTCACTGTTTTGTGTGAGGTTATTTTTTGGCCTTTTTTACCACTTTGATTTTAAAAAAAAACTACACACATGTATAATCATTATTAGAAGAATGCCTTTTGACTTTATAATCACAAATATCCGTAAGCAAATTATGCTCTTGTTTCACGAGTAGCTCAGATGAACTCAATGCATTTCCAGGAAAGAGAATTAAGATAGTCATTTTAATCTTAAACCCTGTAAGCACTTAATTTTTTTTCTACGTATCTGACAGCATGTGTTCAGTTACAGGTTTTATGATCAGTGAATCAATTATGTATGTAATGATTAGTATTTTGCAATAATCAAGCAATGAAAACATAGTGAGACACTTTATTAACTCGGCAAATCAGTTAAAAGGAACATTGATTTCTTATGCCGCTCAGCATGTGCAGCAATTATATTATTCTTTCTCATTTTCTAGGTCATCGTCTTTATCGAGAGGCTGGATTATTCCCCTGGGCTGCTGGTTAAAACATATACCAATGGCTTGGATATAGGCTGCTGGTTAAAACATATACCAATGGCTTGGATATAGAGTCATCTGTCACTAGTCTGCACACACAGGTAAGCACTTAACATCAGAGAGTTTCAGGAGCACTGCTTCTGTGTTAAATTGGCAGTACGGCATTAGGAGAAAAAAGTAGTTTATGAAAAAGACATTTTTTTCAGGTTCTGTGAACAGATTGATGCCCGACAGCTTGTGTTAGCGTTAGCCCTGATGTGAGTAATGGTATTACGCATGTTGCGGGGACATAAGTGTGTTTTCTTGGTCACACTTTGTAGACTTAACTTTGTGTTGGAGACAAAGAAAGTAAGATAATATCCAACATCCGTGATTTCATATAATGTGATTAGAAACAATTTAATTTCTGATGTCGAGTGGTGTTTTGAGAGTGTTAGTGGAGATTCAGCAGATTCTGGTTGATTTTAAATTGATGGAACGGTATCCTCTTCCAGCTGGCAGGAGGTTAAACAGCTTGTGAGAGCGATGATGGGTGAGAAGGACCTTTAAAGTACAGAGGGTGTTCTTTTCTTGGCTCTTTTTAAAAATCGATTCTAAGGAGTGGAGTGAGACCTCGATGACTTTATTAGTCCTTTTTGCACATTTTTCCTTTTACATTCTTCCACACCGCAGTTGCCATATCAAGAAGTGACACAGATGGTCAGGTCGCTTTCAGTAGTGTACCAATGGAAGGTGGTGATATTGGTAAGAGGAATTCACCCATGCTGAAGTCTCCTGAGGAAATTATCCTCTGCTGAGCTTTTTTGGCCAGGTGTGTGGTGTTGAGAGTTCAGGACAGGTCCTCACTGCTGTAATTTCCACCTAATCTTGTATGTTTGACTCCCATCACATGTGCAGAAATAGGTGATCGGCCTTTTTTTAACAGTAAAATCTACCTTCATTTCTTTGAGTTTTTTTTTTTACATTAGGTTTACATTTTGTTTCCACACCAGCTTAATAATTGTTTCAGCTCAGCTCTAAAATATGTTTCATTATAATTATAGATATAGCCCATCACTCTTTTCTCTACTTTATAAAGAGGCTGGTCTCCGTGTTGCAGTGTTGACTTTTTTTCACTAGTGTGTGAAGGAGAGTGTCCTGATATTTCAACCCATTCTCACTCCCGAGTCGTCACATATTGACGTTTTTCAAAGGTCCCTTTGCGTCCAATTTTGACGCATCAGGTACCCCCCTTGCGTCATTCCTTGCCGCCCGCGG